CATTCCTCAAACCAAATACAAATCCATGTTTTCACGGATGCATCGAAGGTAGCATACTCTGCTGCCGTGTATGTTCGAAGTCCTGGAGTTCAAGGAATAGAAACATCCTTGATATTTGGTAAATCCCGAATAGCTCCAATCAAAGGCATTACGTACCACGATTTGAGCTCTTAGCAATGCTCATCGGCGTACGAGCAGCAAAATTTGTCATTGAACAACTTGAGCTAGAAAATATGGCAGTAACGTTATGGTCGGATTCAAAATGCGCATTACATTGGATCCAGAATCATTCAAACTATTACCGACATTCGTACAAAATCGGGTAGAGGAAATACGGAAATCAAAATTTCTGTTTCGATACATTCCAAGTGAGCATAATCCTGTCGATATTGCAACAAAAGGACTATCTCCAAAGAAACTTGGGAGTATAAGCAATGGTGGAAAGGACCATCATGGTTAAAGGAAGATGAAACCTAATGGCCACAATGGAAATTCAATTTCAAGGAATCTGAAATTGATGCGACGGAAGAGAAAGTCATCGCAAAGGTAACAATTACAGCTCACATTAAAGAGAATTTCAAATTCATCGATGGAAGTCGTTTTGGCAAATAGCACAAACTGGTGAGAACTACTACATGGATTTTGAGATTCATAAAATTGACAACTAATAGAAAATTCGGCTGGCTAAAATCTTTAACAACTGAGAAAAATGAACTCACAAGCGAAGACTACAAATTAGCAGAACGGGTACTAATCAGACAAGCACAAGCCGAAGGAATCATCGATATCGCGACGATCAAAATTTATGGCGATCACGCAGTCGATTGGAAAATTCAGAACTGAATGAAAGCAGTAAGCACTCCATTTATCTTCAAAGGCACAATCCAATAACTGAACTCCTCATAAAGCAAACTCATGAAGACTTACTCCATGCCGGAATTGCTCATACGCTTGCGGAAATGCGACGTAAATTCTGGACACCAAAGGGCAGAACCGAAGTTAAATGGGTTCTGAACCACTGCATGGCCTGTAAACGATGGACAACTAAACCATTCAAACTACCGGCTATGCACAGTCTTCCAGAACAATGGGTCACACGTTCTAGAACCTTTGCGCATATAGGTTTAGATTATCTAGGTCCCTTATCTTTCAAAAATGACAATGGGGTAACTAAAATAATCTTGGATTTTCGCGACTTTCGCGACATGTCTGGACTGGTATGCTAGCATTACATGTTGATTTGGCTCTGACTGGATCAGAGATCTGGGATTTCTTTCATGTATCCACTCCCGCTAGCATAGGTCCAAGTTTGATATGGAGTAAGGAAAATCCAGATTTTAAATCTTAGCTGAATAAACTTGGAAAAATGATCAATTCCGAATATATCAGGTTGTTTCCAGTAATATTTCAAATTCTGTTTGGTCCTGATCTATCACAGATGATAAATCATAATTGTTTAAATCAACTACCTGCAGCTTATTTGTTAATTAATCAATTTATTGACATCAAACTTTGTAACTTGTTGTTGCCACCTCTACTTTGGTGGTGGGACATAATTTTGATGCCTTATTTCCAAATGATGAAATTCGTAGCTCTTCTTCCTCAGTTCCTTAGAGATTAAATTGATTTGTTAGCTCCTTTGTACACAAAGGATAATTGAGAACCGCTATCGAAAATGCTAGAAAATCCTTTTCTTGGATTTTCAGCGTTTTTGGATTACCCACTGTGATTTTCTTACACAGGAGTAGGACTTCCTTATCTCTTTGATTCATCCCTCTTCCTGAATTGGTTGAGATTGACGGATTTCTCTTCCGACTAATCACTGTTGTGTGAACCTTTGCAATTGAAGTATTTTTATTTTTTCTTATTGCAATCTTTGACCTCAGGTCTTGTTTGAAGACATTGAGACATGCTTTGGTTACTCTCAGATATTCCATCCGTTGCCTGAGACTTGGCAATTATCATCTCATGAAAGAGAAGAAAGAAGCGATGGGAAAAAAAGGATTGTTTAATTATTCATTGGCTACATTTCTTGTTACAGAAAACAAGTAATTACGGGAAATATCGGAAATCAATAACTATCAATGACATTTTAACAATAAAAAATAATATCATGTGACAAGAAATTTAATTTAACAATGACGAAAGACTGTGCGGAGCAATTTCTTTAGCCTAACTGTATTCATGTGAATAATTTTATATCACAAAATTTCGGGTTACAGTAAACTTAACACAGTTACAATTAATGACACTTAGAGATGATTCGAAAATGTGGAGGCAGTTTTGGAACAGTTTCAACGTCATAATCCATTTCTAAACGTTCAGAAACTAAATTATTTAATGTCCTGCCTGAAAGGAGATGCTTTACTAACTGTTAGAGGCTACGATATTGATCCCCAGCACTGTGATATCATTAGAAAGACTTTAATTGTAATGGAGAGGAATCCATTATAAAAAAATCATTGTAAGCAAAATTGCAATTTATCAAAGAAACGATCGGAATTGGAAAGCAACAATAGAAGCAGTTGATAAAAATCCTCCGATAGCTAAAAGCAATCAGAGAAAATTTGAAACATTGAAGTGTCGAAACATCCATAGAAAGTAAGTTACCTGTTTGGATGCTACACAGTTACTTGTTTGGTGCTACGCAAAATTTATCAACGAAAAATAACTAAACTCCGACAGTCATTAAGAGAATTGATGCAAATAAACGAAGTAGTTAGAAGTTAATCCTTTTGTATTCACTTCCTACTATCATAATCCCGATCTTTGTATGGAGTAAGAAAAAACCTGAATATAGAGTTTAAATTTTGTCCGAATAAAATTGAAGAACTGATCTGGTCTGATAAGTTTGTCGGAGCGTTTCCAATATCGTTTTCGATGATTCGTTACTGTCTAATTTAATTGCTTGTAATTAGGCCGTTAGATTGTCTATCGTATTGATTTCGAAATTTCTGGTTTCCATTCCTTTAGTTCTTGCTCCAACTTCTATTTTAGTAGTCCGACATAACTTCGGAGTTTTATTATCAAATGGAAAATTTTTAAATTTTCTGTTTTGATTTCTTCTAATTTTAATGGGCTTGCTAATTCCTTCAATATGATTGTAGACCAATATGAAATAATGCTGAAACCTCTTGAATTTCCGACACGTCTGGGTTAATCACTTCAATCTCCTTATATAAAAGTAAGACTTCTTAACCTTGCTGATTCGTTAGTTCAGTTACTAATTAGTTATAATTGTTGAATTCGTTTCTTCTTTATTTGATCTAGTAATTTGTACACCATATTTTACGTAATGTTACAATTATTCGTTGCATGTCCTGTTTGAAGACAGTTAAGGCATGCGCTAATTTTTCTCAAAAATTTCATTCGCTGTTTGAGCGTGTCGTAGTTTAGTTACTAACTATAATCGGACGAAAGTAAATTCCGAAGTAAATGTTGTAAACATTAGTGATTTTATAAAAATGGTGAGATAAAGTGTTATTAATCTTAACGTGCACTTAATGTTGAAATCCTCAACATTCATTAGGGATTGTCTCCTGTATGACATTTGAGAGTGCAACACCGTCGACAGGAACTATTTATTGACACTAATTACTCCTTTGATTCCAACAGTTTATCAGTTCAGCTCAATTTCAGTGAAATTTGCTGTTCCTGCTAAAACATGGACGTGATCCATTAATCTAAATATAAATCAAATTTTGTCACTTATTCGATTTTCGACCTTTCGCCTTTCAAGCCGAGATCAAAGAGGGTTAAAGAAATAAACAGACACTGGGATAGTATGTTGAACTTTAGATTAATTGGTTATTAAGATATTAAGAAAGGTTTAATGCATTCGAAAACGACCACAAGAGGAGGAATGTAACAATTAAGCTCCAAAGTTCAATGAGCCAAAAAATTTTAGCAGGCAAAAAAATTATTTGTGACAAGCGGTCATAACATTCATTTAACATTATTAGTTGATAATTTTCTTAAAACATGGCATTCAATCAAAAGTTTTTGTAGAGAACTGAGAAACATACAACATTCATAATGGATGCAAATCGTTGCTCCAGTGAATACTTATCTCTCAAGTTAGTAAAAAACATCAGTCATTGTTGAGTATAACAAATTGGACAGTACAGTAGCCTCCTACTTAATTAGAAAATAATTGTAAATTTTTTTGAATAGATTTAGTAATCTGAGTGAATCAAAAATCATAAGACAACTTTTACACTAAGAACTTGTTATTTTAAGTAGATAAATTGTTAAGATAGGTAAAGGAGTAGCCAAAATTACGTAATGTAATTTTTTGATCGACCGGCTAATACCGAGCTTATTCCTATCCGTAATATGCGATAGCACATTTTTTCGTTGATGATAATTTACCATTAGCCGGTAATATTGTGCTTTACCGCTTTGACAATACAAATTCTGGCCTGTTTTTAATTTAAACTTTTATAGATATTGAGAAGCAAACAGATAAAATACGATCATGAAATTCAGATCTTTTGGTGATATTCGCATTTTATTATCTTTCATTTGCTAAGAAAAATGCTATGCTTTCCGCAACGAACTTTCCATCACGACTCAGCTTACACCTGGAAAATGTGTCAGTAGGCCGAAAACTAATACTGTGGAGCAACTACGAATACAAGGAAATAAAAGGCAGCGAAAGATCTGTAAAAAATTTTATGATCTTAAATTCTTGATGAATCAGGATTTTCATCCTACTGTTTTTGTCGTTTTCGTTCACAGAACTAGTGATGCTTTGAAATTTCTATCGTCAACTGTCGAAAGCTATATCTTAAATATAGTCTTTTCAGTTTTCAAGGGAAGATGGAACAACCCAAAACGATGTGTTTTCATGTTTTTTGAACAATCCCATGAAGGCTGTTGACTATAATGGTCTTCAAACTTTTGCAGAAATTTTGTCAATTGTTTTTAAAGAAATTCTTTTCAAATGTTTTCAGTTGCCTCAAGGAAATGATATCTCGTAAAACTGTGATGTCCATTTTCTATAATCGATGTGTAACATTCAGCAACCATTATCAAAGGAAATGATAAGGAAATGATATCTCATTTCCTTTGATAGTGGTTGCTGGTTGCTAATTCTATTAAATCTCTACGAAGATAAACCTCTTTTGCATATGCGGTTTGGAAATTTTACAGGGCTGAAATAATGCATACTTGAATACAACCTAACGGAATATTAGTTCATAATTGTTCATAATATGTTCATATTCTTGTTTACAATATTTTCTTCAATCCAACAGTTATTTCAAGTTCAGGATTCAAGGCTATCAAAAACTATTTCATTATTTGCAAACTATCTGAAATTGGCATTTTTTTTATTATGGATAACCAATACTGTAGATGAGTACTCCATAGTAATTTCAAATTTCACTCTGGCTCATTAAATATGACTTTAAATTCATCTATAGCCTTTCTCGAGTATCCACTTGAACTTCAAATGGCCCTTTCTAACAAAATTTGATTACAAATTTTCCATTACTGGATTAAAACAGTAGGATTAAAAGAGGATTAAAACAGTCACCATCAAGCTGTGATGCTCCACTGAAACTTGCACAGTCTTCTAAGCAAGCCTAAAGGATTGCACCTATCACATAAATGCCTAGTAATTTTAAGTTTCTTACTACAACAATCTCTTGAAGTCTTTCCAGCAACTTTAATTTATATTTATAAGGTCTGATTTGGAGCGGTTGAGACATGCTATATATATATAAACCATTGTTTAGGTGAAAGATTATTGCTTTTTATTCCTGTATAAAATTAAGTCTTAAAACTGTCAATTTATGATAGCTTTCAGTTCTCATATTCTAACAACAATCGACTGTTCAAACAAATCAAAACCAGTCGATTATGATTCGAACTACATTTTATATTATATAAAAACTGGATTTTTGCTATTTAACGACATAAAGAAGAGATATGTTTATAAACTATTAACCTTTCACAGCTGACACAACTTATTGATCGATAGAAGTCTAAGAATCTGTGAAATATATCAACACACTCTGGCAACAACTGCACCGACATCGTCACCCAAGTCAGCGCCGTAGACCTGCACTGACACCTTCACCTCAGTTAACAAAGGTCGAAAAAAACTCACTACGGTGGTCTCGTAACTTTTTCAGACGACTATTCTTTCATATTCACCTTTATATTGTCCCGCTTATTCCAATTTAATTTTATGATAAACCAAAACATAAGAAGCTAAATG